TTATTTTTGCATGAAATTGGGGGAACAAGGAAAAATAATGGATTTCTTTTTACTACACCTAATATATATAGATTTCAAATAAAAGATAAAATTAAATTAAATATCACATATATATAAAGTAATTACGCACGTTGTAATTTTTATCAACATTAGATACCAAAGAAAAGAAACTGTAGTCTGCTATAGATCTGTTTTAGATCTTTATGAAGCAGAAAAAATTTTTCATTTTCATCTATACAATTCAATTAAATCAATTCGATCATCTAACACGGTAATGAACGCGACTACAGTTTTTAGCGAATTAAAAAATCCTGTCGTCAGTTTTGTTTATATTTGACAGAAGAAAGTCACAGGTTTAAATAGCATTGCGTGGAATAGGTGAACGGGGAATAGGTGAACACTTAATTGAACAACGAATCCTAGGTGCAACGAATAAGTTATAGAAGACAAAAATAATGCAGAAACGGTCCGATGCAGGTGGTTTTGCAGGCACAGGCAGCTCTCTCCTTCTTTCATCATCTTCATCGGTCGACCACATACCTAAATCGGATCTCTTCCAAGTCAAAGGGATATTCAATTATACCGGTGGTGGGCACTCTCACACGAAGAATGTCCTGTTCTGTGGGGAGGTAGTTTGGTGCCGCGACTCGATCTATCTCCATTAGGTAACTGAAACATCGTGTTCTCAATACGCGATGTATAGGAAAGAGGAAAAGAGGAGAGAAAGGAAGTAAAGCCACCGTGAGAGAATTAAATCGTGTCCGGTGCGCGCGTGAATATCAGAAGCATTGCTTCGAAACGCAAACGCAAGAAGAATAAGATAAACACGTGTTTAAACAAGATTCAGAGACAAATCTCGGTAAAATCTTTGAAAATGAAGAGCTTATTGAAAGATCTTAAGTCAAATATCATTCTCTTTTTCTTCAGAGAGAAAAATATGTTAAAAGGCAGTCTTTATTAAAAACTGACCGAAGCCCTTTTGGAAAGGAATTGTTTGGATATGTTTGCGCGCGCGCGCGCGTGTGTGTGTGTTTTCTGGAGGCGGAAGATACAAAGTATTTTCATATGTATCGTATTACAGTTCTAATAAAAAATATTTGTTGTCTCCCTCAATAATTTAATGTCTCCTTTCATTTGATCAGAATTGTATAAACGAATTGATAAGATAAAATTTGTTTGTAAGAACGCAGAAGTCAAGAGTCTTGATGCTTTTCTCAAGAGAAAAATTCTCAATTTGTTGAAAATGAATCAATGAGAAAAAGATTAGTGTTGAATCGTCCTGTTACATAAGTTTTTTCGGTGAGGAAATTGAGGATGTTATAGATAGATGAAGGAGAGGATAATCTCTCGATAAAACACGTGGACAAGCATCAGTTTCGCGACAAAAAGGCGTAGTACAGTCGAAATACTTACTACTTGGCAGAGTCCGTGAGCTGATATTCCCGTCTACGATCATAGCACTCCTGTATACCCGCGTCCGCCCACAGGTCCTTGATTGCCCCCACGTACGGGCTCTCGAACGTCGTCACCGTTTCAAAGTCGACGCTCCGCACCAGTTCCGCTTTTTCCTGAAAGGAAGAGGAAGAAAAAACGTATGAACCTAGGGAAATGACGAAGCGATATTACAATGTATAATTTATAAGTTTCCGGTTTGACATATCGGCATGTCCGATATCAAGTATGCGATATGAAATTATCGTTAACCTTCTCATGTGCAGCACAGTTAACGCTTTAATTAACCCTTTAATGCGAAGTCTGACCTGCATATGATCGCAATAGCAGATTTAAAGCATTTGGTATATCTGATGTGTACATCAGATATATATCTCGGAACCGTGTTAAATTAAATAACAAGTGATAGGATCAGTAAATTAATTAAAGAAAGCAAAAATTATAATGTGAAATGTAATATTTATTATATTGGCTCTGGAAAAAAATTATATGGCACTAATTGGAAAAAATTCTGATTCGATCAAAAAAGTACAAATCAGATACTTGTAATTAAATTTATTAAACATTTCTATTTTAATCTAGCACGATGTAATTAGAAATTACATTATTCGTTTACGATAACCAAAATTCTGATTGATAAAATCAGAATACATTTTTTTGTACTTCTTGTTGGTACAACGAGAACATTTTTCTCAAAGACACTGCAATAAAACCATAAATTTACATCTAGTGTCGCTCCAAAATGCCATAGAAATTTAATGCCATAGTACTTTCTGTACAAAAATGAACGTTACATATGAAATAGTTCAATAAAGTCAATATTTACATTTAATAATACAATTTTATGGTTTAAATGAAAATTTTCTCATTTTATCTTAAAATACATTTACTTTTAACCGAAATAATATTTTAACCAGGTTTTAAATCATCAAACTTTTTGTATTATTTTAAATATAACAGAAAAAAACTGTAATCTCTTATAATTTTTTCATTTTGTTTTAAAATATACATGTGATGTAGTTTGCGATATTTATTTATTGCTATAAAATTCAAAGATTTTTCTTTGCATAGATCTATTAATTATGAGCAATCGATAAAATGTGAATGATACGCACTATATTCGAGGAATCGCCATACTGGATCTTCAGGAGGTCCATCGCCCGAATCATGGACTGCATCGCCATAAAAATGTTTTGGTACACAAGTTTGATAAATCCTCTCTTATCCTCGTCCGAGTAGCCGGAGCCATGGATAATCCTCATCTGTTTAATGAAGGTGGACTTGCCCGACTCGCCGGTTCCTATGACAAAGTTTCTTTGTTAGCTCGCTATTAAAGTAAATAAATAAGTAACGGTTTTTCTCTTTTAGGGAATGAGATATTGTACCGAGATTTCCGATCGGATGTATTTAAAACTTTTATATAAGATAACGAAACGCAAAATTTCTAGCGATTAAATTATAGTAAATAATTAACAAATTATTTAGATAATATAATATTTAACTTTTCAATCATGACGCGTGAGTGCCGTTTTCAAATTATTAATAAAGAAGATACCGAACAGATGATATCGAAATATAGAGAGACACCTTATTAAACTTATTATGTCAAATTATACTCAATTTGAATTATTTTTAATTACTTCTATAGGTTGCCACTGCTCCTACGCAAAAATATGACATTAATTTAAATAAAATAATGGAGTCAAACAATTTAATTCAAGCAAACGTATTTGACTTGAATTTAGTTTATTATTTACTAAGTACATATATCAATATGGACATTATTTACTTTGAAAGCTAGCCACAGAAATGATATACATTTTGTTTCAAATTAAGTTAAAAATAATAAACTGTGTTAACTCAAAAGATTGTATTACTATAATTTCTTTGGTATCTAACAATACAATATACTGTTCATTATTAAGATTAAAGCCAGCGGCACATAATGCTTGTTTTCCTACTGGATTGCTAACTAAATTAGAATTTTGCTAGCGTATTGGCTGCGGTGCTGACTGCTCTGTCCAATCAAGCTGGCAATCCAGCAGGAAAACAAGCACCACCAGCTTAATTATTTTCATTTAATCGGCATAACACAACGAAACATTGCAAATTAACAACATCTATGCGTACATGTATATAAAATTTAACAAGTTCCGCTATATAAAAGAGAAGATGGTACGGCAAATATAGATTAAGGTATATTTAATTACACATACCTACTTTCCCATTCTTTTTAAATTTGAGCGTACTATTACACGAATATATGCAAACTTGAGTGTGTTGTTTGTTATTTAACATTTTACTTAGTATACATGCGAATAAATTAAATAATGGCATGGCATTTTGCTAATGTGGCCTCCTATACATGTTGCTTGTTGACCTCTTTTTCGAGATTTTTATATCAAATTATTCCATAAATCGATTGTAGCTCTTCTGTTATATTACCTATAGCTTATATTATATATATTATAGATTTTTAGTACTGAACAATTCTATGCGGAAAAAGTGTGTGCATATACATATACATTTGCATACATTCTACAATATTTTACTTTCTTGTTTTTTATTTTGTAACAAATATCGTTTTTTAAAGAAAATCAATTTTTGAAATCTATATTTGTGGAAGGCTCACACATTACCCTATTTTTTACAAATAGTGTGTTAAGTATCTAATAAATGTTTCGTAACTTTGAATCGATTGAACAATGCTTTGGCGAATGTAATCGTTAAATTTCAAATTTAAATATTTTTATTATTAACCAAGTTATTGTATAGAACGTAAATGCCATAATATTTGCACCTTCTCCTCTACAATATATAATATATATAAATATTAATTGTGAAAAAATTCTGATATCAGCTAGCTTCTCGACACATTTATGACTTTGCATCTCGCGAGTCGCGCGAAGTTTGTCCGCTTCTGGAAAACGGTGGGGTGATTACGCCGGCTAGATGCAAGTGGAGGTAG